TTGGAGGGTCTTTGTTCTAGTTAAACTCTCTATTTTAGAGATAACTTTAAAAATGTCAAAATCAGTACCATTATTCTTAATATTATAATGGAAGGGTGATAGGCTTTTTAGATTTCTGATAAAATAGGCCTCAAATTCAAAAGATTATATCTTTACAGATGAAGAAATTGAATACGTCTAGTTCTAATTTCAAATGAAATTCATCAAATATTTGTGTGGACATAGAAATAGCAATAAAGTAACTACATTTTCTAGATTCTTTGTTTCACTATAGAGTATGCCAGATTAATTTGATAAAATCATAGCCAGGACTATGACTTAATGAAAACATAATAATAGCAGTTACTATTGCTGACCACCTGTATACTTTTTGTTTTCATTTCTATTAATTGCAAAGACTTGGGCAAAGTCAGGTTCAATCAGAGAGGTTAAATGACTTGCTTGAGCTCATTTGATTAGTAAATGACAGAGAAGGGGCATAGGCATGGGTCAGCTCTTCTACAGTGTGGATCACAAAAATATCACTGTAATAGATAATTTAGAAGTTACAGGTTGACATGCCAAGGATATTTGAAAGGCACTGTTTTGGCAGAAAACATATCACCTGTCATATTTACATATAATCTATGTAATATTTTAATATTAAATATGAAAAGTAATAGTACTGCCTAATTAAAAAGTGACATGTTTTTAATAAAAACAGAAAAACTGCTACATCACAACTGATATTGGTGGTATAATTGATTCAGACTCAAATGGCTTCTCAAGCCTTTTTTATTTTTTTTCTCAAGCCTTTTTAAAGGAAATATTTATAACTCAAAAATACTTCAAGTATTTTCTGATATATAACCTGTCTTCTTATGATTAATTTCACTTTAGAGCTACCAGAAAGAACATGACCTGTAAAATGAAGATAAAGGTTATGATGACTGCATAAGAATGGAGACATTGGTATGCAGGAATTTGTAAAGAAAGATTTAGAAATTAGATATCTTCCATTTGGTGATGTTATGTTCTTTTTCAAAAGCTTCTTTTCTTTTTTTAATGTTTAGCCTAAAATTTTAAATTCTCATATTTAGACATCTACATTGTAAATCAAGATCAACATCAAGAATATCAAACATTATTATTAGGAGGTTGCAAAACAACAATAACCATAACAGCAAAACCCAAACCTTTTGGCCGCCACATTCTGTTCCCCCATAGTTGAATGAAATAAAAAAATATGTTGGAAATTAAATATGTGCAGGATTTGTGTCATCAAAATATAGTTTTAAAGTAACAAGAACCAGATGAAATATTATCATCAACTGTTCTCTATTGAATGTGAAAGGCTAATGACACTTTGTTTTCTCTTTTTGGATACATCTACATTCATTTACTTATGTTATAGTATAGTCCATTCTGAGAGGTACTATCTCCACAGTGGTAGACTGCTTCTATTGTATACTGGAGAAATTTAAAATGGATTTATTGGGGGATCCCTGGGTGGCTCAGCGGTTTGGTGCCTGCCTTTGGCCCAGGGCAGGATCCTGAAGTCCTGAGATCGAGTCCTGCATCAGGCTCCCTGCATGGAGCCTGCTTCTCCCTCTGCCTGTGTCTCTGCCTCCCTCTCTCTCTCTATGTCTGTCGTGAATGAATAGACAGAATCTTTAAAAAATAAAAAAATAATAAAATAAAATGTATTTATTGGGATGATACTTGTGGGGAAGAAAGATATTGAATTTTACACACAGATTTAATGCAAATGAATCACTGATACAAATTAAGGAGTTATTTGATATTTATTTTCAAGTTGATATTTTACTTTGTGCTGCATTATTTCTCAGTGAGGTTATAATGTTTTGCACCTATGAAATCAAACTGTATTTTCATTTGTACACTCAACAAGTATTTGAGTGGCTACATTTACCAAGCATGTGACTGATACCTACTACTGGACTGTAATTTTCTTTCAGAGGTATTTGATATTTGTTAAATGGAATCAGAAATGCGAAAAAACTTGTATATTGAATTAGGGATACTTAGCTATAAGAAACACTTGCATTTGTGGAATGAATTTTTCTTAGGAAGGGAAATAATACTCCATTCAGTTTTGAAATTTAGAACTGGGAGCATAAATTATTTTTAATAAATGTAACATGTACTTCTATTCTCCTATGGTATAGTCAGTCTGAGCAGAGATCTCACAAAGTAGGAAGAAGTAGAAAATTTAAGAGAGATGAAGAGAAATTAAGTGATGTAGATAAGGAATATGGGAAGAGAAAACCATAAAGTTAGGCATTCAGAGATGCAATGATGTAACAGAAGAATGATACAGATCCATGGTGATACCAAAAATGAGAACATGCCATACGATTTCCAGTTAAGAAAAATGTGTCTGTCCTACCTCAAACTGGCTCCCAGGCTCCTAATACAGTCAAAATTGTAGAACAAGACACTATTATATTTCAGATATGCACAAAATACCGGGTGAACCTTATGAGGAAGCAAGTCACTATCTGGAACATGCAGAAAAGAACATTCCAAAAATAATGGCTTGGCTGAATCTTGAAGACTGAGATATGGATGTGATTGGTTTCAAAGGAGGAAAATTCAGGCAGAAAACTGATGGAAAAAGATTTGTGTGGCAGGAACATAAGCTAAATTTAAGATAGTGGAGGACAGAGAGAGAGTAAGGTTATAGAAATTGACGCTTGAACACCATTTCAGAGTAACTACTGTGTTCCTGCAATAATAAGAGTGGAGCAATTAAAATAAAATCACTGAGGATGGAGCCCAGGTAAGCGTATTTTTAAAAAGCTCACTTTGGAGATGCTAATGTGCAGCTATAGCTGAGAATCACTATAACAGGTGACTGGAAGTCAATGAACATTTTAAAGTGAAGAAATGGTAAAATTAGATCCTTTTTAGGAAGTTAACTTCAGATTGGAGAGTGGCAAGAGAAGGAGTCTGTATGTGTATAAAGATAACTGAATAGCAGTGGTCTATGGTATTGTATTCACAGAAAAAGACAGGTAGTCAGACATACCAAGGAAGAGACTATTTTATATTAATGTTGAAACTATTTGGAATACGTGGTTTAAACTCTAACTGAATGTTATAACCAAATGTTATAAAATTTGGATATGATTTATTATATTTGCCACCTAGCTCTAATGGACCTAAGCCAAGAGCATTGGATGGAGCTTATTTTAATCCCCATTTCAAATCCCTTATGTGAATTCACTATTTATAGATACACTATTCATCATTCTTTTTGTAAATGGAGAATTTACTGGTAAGAAACAGTTATGGTAACACTGTCATGCCATTTTTTTATCAGATGAAACCACTTTATCTTTATTGGGGGTTATATTAGTATTCATTCAGAAATGTTACTGTCCCTTGGTAAACAGCAAGGATTTATCAGTTGAATGGAATGGGTACTCCAAAGTGTATTAAGAAATTGGAGAAGTCAGTAAATGTTTTCTGTATTGTTTTCAGTTACTTTGGTTTTCTCATTAACAACTATTAATTTACATAAGGTGGTATGTCTTATTTGTGAGATAATGTCCAATTTTTTAAAAATTTAGAAAAAGAATTTGGTCTACAAGTTACTCTGAGCTGTTAAAAATATTATATATATTAATTTATGTACAATAAAGACATAAATGTATAATATATGACTAAAATGGTATAAATTATATAGAGAACAATACTTTTAATTGAATTTTATCAATGGATGAACTTAGTTTTTCCTGTTATTTTTTAATATATCTATCTATATTTACATATACAGATATATAGATAGATCTTTAAAAAATAAATGGATCTCCAGTGACTCATCTCAGAAAAGAACTCTTGTCCATTTTCTAATGTAATATTTTCAGTTCATATAACAGTGTGAATTGTGTTTTCTAGTTATTGTAATTGGCTGTATTATTTTAAGACAGTATCTAGTATTTCTTGAAATTTCTCTCTTAGAATTGGATCAGAGGCACTCAAAAACTTTCGATTTGTCGTTATCTCCCACTGAGTAAAGAAAGAGAATAGTATTTCTTATTTTCTCTTCCCTTCCTCCATCCCTTTCCTTCCATCCCTCCCTTCCTTTCTTTTTTGATTAAGAAGGGAATAAGGAGCTCTGACCAAAAGGAGCACTTTGCAGTGGTAAAGGTAAGGAAATAAAAAATCAGTAAGTTTAAGTGATTTTCCACTTGCGCCAGATGGAAAGGTGTGGCATTAGGCCACAGATGCCTCTGGACTGCTATTTCGATTCACAATATTTTATTAAAAGACAAGTCCCCAAAAAGGTTAGTAAAAAACTACAAAACCCCTAATACTGTTGTCATAATAATATGGCTCTCCTTAATAACTCTCTTAGAGATTTCCAATTTGGGCAACAGTCAATATATGAGCTGTTTTTCCTAATATCACACCCTTAGTCTATTTCAGAAATTTTAAACTCTCTTTCTTTCTATTTTTTTTCATTAAAAGCCCTTTAGAAAACCTAAGGTTATGAATTTTCTCTTCACAAAAATTTATATACGCTCATGTAGAGAAAATTTTGCATACCATTTTAAAGACTTATTTTTGTGAATAAACTCAAGAAGACAAAGGGAACTACCTAAGAGGAACATAAAATAACTTTTTTATTTTTACATATAAGATTTTTTTTCCTCTAAAGTAGAAGATTGGTTAGATGCAAAAGTTAAAAATCTTCACTTAAATGATATGAAATAGCATGGAAAAGACTAAGTTTACTTTGGCAAACAATTTTAGTAATTTTTAATCTTGTGAACTGTTAAAGAATATACGGGCACACAGAAACACCTTAAAATTCTAATTATGCATTATACAGAAAACAAAACTTCACATTTTTTTCTGAAATTAACACAATGTGATATGTTATAAATGTAAGGCTTTGAGAAGAAAATCGTAAAATCCCAAGACCTCACAATCCTGACCAAAAGAGAAACAGACATACCACAAAATTTAATTGTTAACGATAAAAATGGCATTCACTTTTTATGAAAGAGCAGAGGTTTCACCATCCCTGCCAAGATCTTGGGTAACTGTGCGGCAATAACTTCAGACATCATTTCTGGAAACTCAACGCTCAGTGCCCGGGACTGGATAAATGTATTCAAGCAGTACAGATGAAGCTGTTTGACAAGCTGTTAGTTTTACAAATGGATAAGAAACATGTAAAAAATTAATACATTCATATAATAAAACATGACAACTTATTTTTCTAACAATATAAACACTCATAAAGTTGTTTTCTTTCCAAAATAACTCTCTTCACTTTCTAAAATAACATGTAAAATATTACATACAATGAAACATTCCGATAGCACAGAAAGATTTAAAGAAATGAAAGTCTTTCATAATCCCACAGGATAACTGATATGAACATTTTGGTGTCTTTCTTTTGAGTTCTTTTTTCTTTTCATACATGTATGCAAACATACCCAGGTATATACACAGTATACACAATGATATATATATATATATAAAATGCAATTATTTAATAAAGTCTATTTGTTAACAGGGTGGCTTTTTTACATAACAATATATTGACTCTTCCTCTGTCAATACAACCTAACATATTTCATTTTAATTTAATTTTAATTTTTGTCAAATAATTAATGTAAGTAATTTATTTATTTATTTTTTTAATGTAAGTAATTTTAAAAGTCAAATAGAACCCAACAGTAACAATGAAATCCAGCAGTTTTCTCATAGAATTCTTCCCATTCTTATTCTAGTTCCCCAAATGCAACCATTTTCAACTTCTTTAGCCCATATCTTTAAGTATTTATCTCTGTATTTCTAACAAATTTTGTTTTTCAAATTTGATATTATTGATTTATTTCTATTATGGAACATGAGGTTTCAGCTCTCCTATACTAGATACCGCTCCCAATTATGTACGAGTTTTCTTCTCCTCATTCTCTATATAGCTTTATCTCAATTTTTTACTAAATCAATATCCAGTAATTATATTATAAAAATTTTTATTGTTCCTGCTGGATTACAGTTCCTTTCATATATGATTTATTTTTATTTTGCTAGAGCTAATCATTTTGTGTTTCTGTTTGCTTTGTTTCCTTTATATTTATCACAAAGCCATAGTCTAATTCTTCGACACAATTTTAAAAACTCATCTGAGCATGTTCAGACATACTGGTACTCCCTAGTTCCATCTTTTTTTCCCTTGTACTAGTATTCTGAAACCCTGGGCATTACTGCTACAATCTAGACTAATAATTGCTTAGCACAGTTAATGTGCTAGAATATCCTTTTGTATCTCTCCTGGGTTGGATCTTCTACTTTATTGTCTTATTTCAGTGTTTTATCATTAAAACATTCTGTAGACGTCCATGAGAAGATGGTATTTGAGGTAGGCTCTCTGAGACCTTGCATGTCTGAAAATCCTTTTTAAGGTACCATCATATTTGTTTGATGACTTGGCTAGGTATAAAATTCTTTGAAGATTTTCCTTTCCTTCAAAATTCTGAAGCCATTGCTCCATTGTTTTCTGGGTTCCAGAATTGCTGTTCAGAAGTCCATCATTTTGATTCCTGATAATTTTTTATGTGAGTTGTTTCTTTTCTCCTTACTCTATTTTAGGATAGTCTTTTTATTTCTGGTATTTTAAAATTCCTAAAATAGTGTGCCTTTGTTCAATTGTTTTGTACCTGTGCACTGGACTTTTACAATCAGAAAATTCAAATCCCTCTGGTCCACTAATTTTTATTTTAAGATTTATTATGTAATTTCTTCACCTTGATTTTCTCTGTTCTTTTAGAAATTCCTTTTATTGGAGATTGAACCTCCTTAGATTAATCCCCTAAATTTGTTGTCTCTTCTAATTTTTCATTTATCTTTTTTGTTATTTCTTCTGAGTTTTTCTGATACTTAAATATTAGCCCTTCTGTTAAATTTTAAATTTTTGTTTCTCTATATTTAATTATCCAAAAGTATTTGCTTTCTAAATGTTCCTTCCAAATGTTTTCTATTTATGTCTCATGGATGCAATATCATTTTTAGTTCTCTGAATATCTTTTTTTTTTAATCTTTTCTGTTCTCTGTTCTGATGCTTTTTCCTTCATTACTTTTTTTCTGTGTATTTGATTTCTGACTTTCATTATACAGGCTTTACCTATATGGCTAATAATCCTTGGCTATCTGTTCATTTTCAGAAATAAGGTCTCAAATTTGACCCAGTGAGTAGATTACCATATTGTCCATTATTATTAGCACTGTTATTAACTTGTAATTCCATCCAAAATGATATGAGAGTCTTATTTTCCACATCTATACCTTTGTGCTTTGCTTCCTGTATATAAAATGTTTTCTAATAGGCAAAATATTTTAGAGCATATTCAGGAAAATGTATCACAATTCCTATACAATTAAATTACTCTCAAGTTATACAAATACTAGTAAAAGGATATTTGGGTGATATACATTGAAAGTGAAAAAAGCACAATATAAGTTCTGAGCAGTGTGATGCAAATACTGTTTTTTTAAAATATAGTACAAATATGAGTTTGAAGAAACCATATAAAGTAAAATGTAGATTAAAATTTAAAAGGTTATAGAAATTCAGAAAATAAACACTGATATCCTAGAACACAAAATACTTACATCATGCAAGTTATCAAGAAGTTTTGTGAGTTGGTAGAAACGCTGTGAGCTAGAGACAACTCCTTTTTGCCTCAAACCAATTGCTTTGATGAGCTCTCTAATGTAGCTTGATCTCATCTCTTCAAACTGGTTTTGACTTCTTAGTCCTTCCAAAGGAACTGTAAGAATATAACTACAAGTGGCAGTTATGCTTAAAAAATTAACAGCAGCAGTTTGTAATAAAAATTTCTGAGCTGTGTAAAGTTTTGATATGCAACTCTAATATGAACATGTTGAAACAGTGTTATTGATAGTTTTAGGACACATAAACTTATACTTCTCTTGAAGAATATAAGAACAATTAAATAAAGGACATTTTAGCTCACCTATTTTAGATTTGTATTAATGGATTATTCATCTAACTTAGCACTTACTCAAAAGAGCATCTGTCATTCTATATTCCTGTCTCAGGAATGAATTTAGTTTATAATTATATGCACGGTGGGTCTTTTTTAAAGAAAAAGTATTTGAACAAATACTTGGATTGCTCTGTCAAGTTTGTCTTCATATAAATCTGAAGTATTTGTCATTGAGATTATTCATGGATAACTTACCATTTTTGTTGTGATTTTAGCATTGCTTCATTAAATATCCTAACTCCTTCCTGCTGATATGAAAGAAAGCTATTGATATTTCAATACTTCTCTTATACACCACCACTTCATTATACTCTATTTTTACTTATTTATTTTAATTTCTATTTTCAATTCAAATAGTTTTGATTATCTTTTTTTTTGGTATACAGTACTATATTAAAAATATATTCATTTCCCCCTTTCCAATAGTTGTATAGTTGTAGCTCTCATTTCTGCTTCATGATTCAGTGCACTGTTTAGTAGGACTTCCAGAACAATATTAAATAATAACAATGGCACATATTCCTATTTTGTTGCTTATTTTAATGGGAATGCTTCTTATTCCCATTTGTTATTTATTTATTTATTTGTTTGTTTGTTTATTTATTTATTATTTACTCATGAGAACAGGGAGAGACAGAGGTAGAGACACAGGCAGGGGAAGAAGCAGGCTACATTGCAGGGAGCCTGAGTGGGACTCGATCCCAGGTCTCCAAGATCAGGTGCTGGGCTGAAGGGGGCGCTAAACCGCTGAGCCACCCAGGTTGCCCTCTTATTCCCATCTGATGTTAACTGCTAATTCAGATATTTACCTCTGTAATCTTTAATTCTGATATCCAAATTTTAGGCACAACTTCCTATTCTTACTGCTTCTCTTATTTTTACTGTGTTGTCAATTTTACCTACAACTTTTTTTCTTAATATTTTAGGTCCTTCTGTTATCACTTGTTTGAGATGCTCTGTTGATTTCTTCAGCAACTTATCACCAGAACTCCCAATTTCCTTGTTTCATTTTCTTTGGTTGCATTTATCTTACAAACAAACCTTCAAACTTAAATGAAGCAGCTGCCTTTTCCTGCAGCTATTCTAGACTGCTGCAGGAAAGAAAAAAATTACATAATCTCTTGGATTTATATAACTAAACATTTATGATCTTGACCCTTAGCAATATTTCTATAGAGAAGTACATTTAATTTAAGCAAAATCAACTGTATATGCCTAGCAAAGGGAGAGAAAAAAATCCTTTTGTAAAAACTTTTATTCCTTGTTGTCCAATCAGACCTTGGCTTCCACTCCCCTTAGAAAAAAAATAAGGCCACAGATTTACAAAAAGAAATTCTTTGCTTTTGAGTTTTTAAGGGCTCATATAATAAATATAAAAAAGTCTTTCAAGGGTAATTTTGGAAATATGTGATTTTTACTTGATTGTAAATTTTACTGCTGTATATACATCTGAACCAGCTCTCCTAAATATTTCTATTTGCTTTGAGCTCCTTATCTTAATTCATTTTTCCTTAATTATTACATCCAGTAATATATGATTGGGGAATTTTCTCTCAGGTCTTGTTGATTCCACAAGTGAGTTTTAGGACTTCTTGCAAATATCTTAGTGGCAAATTGGGAGATGGTGAGTCATGGGCAGTTAGTCAGATGCTATTTTAGATAAGAATACTTTTTAAAAAAACAAGGATCTTTATCTTTTGACTGAGCTAACTTAAAAATAGCATATATTCATTGGAAAAATTTTAGAAAGCATAGAAAATACATAAAAAATTATAAGTCACCAGATCCTACCATCCAATACTTTGGGATATTTCCCAACATTATATTGAGAACATTTACTTATTATACCTCTTAAAATGCTTTAAAAATAAATGTTTTAATTCTCACATTTAGCTTCACTTCACAAAATTGTAAGAATACAACTTGTCTTATTTGTTATTTGAAATACTTTATTAAATCTAAACAATATTTATTATGAATATATTTTTTGATTTTTTAAAAGTGTATATACCTTAGAAGTACGATTATTGCAATAAAAGATATTAACTTTCTTAACTCTTATACATTCCTTTTTTTTAAAAATAAGTTTCTTTCTAACTCTGGGAAATGAACTCTAGGGGTGGTGGAAGGGGAGGAGGGCGGGGGGTGGGGGTGAATGGGTGACGGGCATGGAGGGGGACACTTGACGGGATGAGCACTGGGTGTTATTCTGTATGTTGGTAAATTGAACACCAATAAAAATTAATTTATTAAAAAAATAAAATAAGTTTCTTTTTTTTTAATTTATTTATTCAGAGAGAGAGAGACTGAGAGGCAGAGACACAGGCAGAGGGAGAAGCGGGCTCCATGCAGGGATCCTGACGCGGGACTCGATCCTGGGTCTCCAGGATCAGACCCCGGGCTGCAGGCAACGCTAAACCACTGCGCCACCAGGGGTGCCCACTCTTATACATTCCTAAACTTCTTACTATTTAACTGTTTTGTGGTAACTACTGAGTGTTTACATTTTAGGTAATCTTTGCTTTTCACACAGAAAATTAAAATATCTCATTTTCATTTCTCAAATTATTAATGAGGCTGAACAATTTTCTTAAGTGTATTAATGACTTACATTTTTTTTCTATTTAGTACTCACTTATCTATAGGGTATATTTCAAATTTTTTTCTAAGTTTGTTTAATTTTTAGATACCTTGTTACAATTTTGCAACCTTTTTAGGGCAAAAAACTAGTAGTGCCCAGGCAACCCTACTTTTCTCATGATCCAGAAGTAAACACTTCCAACTTTTTCATCTATTTATTTTAATTTTTCCTTCTACAGAATTATTATTATTTTTTAAAGATTTTATTTATTTATTCATGAGAGACACCTAGAGAGAGGCAGAGACACAGGAAGAGGGTGGAGAAGCAGGCTCCATGCAGGGAGACCAATGCTGGGACTTGCTCCAAGATCCCAGGATCACGCCCTGAGCCGAAGGCAGATGCTTAACTGCTGAGCCACCCAGGCGTCCCTCCTTCCCAGAATTAAACAGCAACATTGTAGTCCTGATTCTTGATTTTTTTTATTTTTCACTTTTGATTTTCTAGTGTGGAAAATGAGACTGTAGCTCTATTTCCATCTTTCAGATTTACCATCACCTCCACACCAGTAGTGCACAAGTGCACACACACACCTTCCTAATCCTCATCTTCCTAATATTTTCATAATATTGGTTAAATGAGTATTCAGAATTTATTATCTTGTTATGTAAAATGCTATCACAGTCAAGTCACACATAGTATACATTATGATTTCTAGTACAACTTTTTGTTTTACTAAGAGTAAATAATCATCTTAATGGGTGTAAGAAGTGGTATCTCACTGTGGTTTTGATTTGTATTTCCCTAATAATTTGTTGAGCATCTTTTCATGTGTTTAATGTCTATTTGTATACCTTCTTTAGAGAACTGTCTATTCAGGCCCTTGTCAATTTAAAATTTTTTTAATTGTTAAATAAATTGTTCTTTATATATTCTGGATATTATTATTCCTTTTCTTTATCAGATACATGATTTTCAAATTTTTTTCTCCCATACAGTGGGTTGACATTTATTTTGTTGATCATGACCTCTGATGCACTAAAGTTTTAAATTTGATGAAATTCCTTTTTTTCTTTTATTGCCTGAGTTTTATGTGTCATATCCAAGACAAATTGTCATATCATTGCCAAATTCAACATCATGAAGCTTTTTTGTTTTGTTTGTTTTATAATTTCAGCTCTTAGATTTAGGCCTTTGATCTATTTTAAGTTAATAAGAGTCCAACTTCATTTTTTTAACGAAGTTTTCCAAACACTTTTTGTTAAAAACACTAATTGTTTCCTTGATGATTTCTTCTCCTATGTATTTTCCTGTTCTTTCTTTCTAGTGCTCCAACTATTTGGGTGTTGGGCCTCCTTGATTCAGATTTTCTACGTTTTTTGGTTTTTAGTTCTACTTTTGAGAAGTTTTCTTTGTCTACCAATGCCTGTACTGACTTAAATTCTGCTTTATTCTTTTTTTTTTTTGCTTTATTCTATACATAGGTATATATAGATATATATACACACACACACACACACATATATATATATATAAACTCTGCTTTTCAATTTTCAGTATCTAAGAGCTCTTTGCTTTTATTTTTTTTCTATTTTTATTTATTTATGATAGGCACACAGTGAGAGAGAGAGAGAGGCAGAGACACAGGCAGAGGGAGAAGCAGGCTCCATGCACCGGGAGCCCGACGTGGGATTCGATCCCGGGACTCCAGGATCGCGCCCTGGGCCAAAGGCAGGCGCCAAACCACTGCGCCACCCAGGGATCCTGAGCTCTTTGCTTTTAATGTGTTATTCCTTTCTTACAGTATTCAGTACTTGTTCCTTGGGTGCAAAATATTCTCATCTTTCTACAGAGGGGATAGCTTTTTAATTTTTTGAGGTTTTCATCTTCCTACATCATCTGTTTCTTCCAACTTTGTTTTATTTCTGATTTCATTGTCTTTGATGTCAAAGGATTCTCTCAGATGCCTTGGTTATTTATATTCAAGAGTGGAAAGCTATAAGGCTGATTCACAGTCCTGTTTCAATGGGTAGTGCTTGACTATAAGCTTTAGTACAGGGCAATCTGGCTGAGCTATTTCAGAGAAACATCTGCTATTTAACATATTAGTTTCTTTTCTTTCTGGAAAAGAGATTTTGCACAGAATAATCCTTCAGTCTCCTGTCTAGAGGATATGAACCTGGATGACAATGTTTTGATAGAGGGGGTGAGGTAAGTATGCTGGAAGATGGTGTCTCAACAGTTGGCACATTATTAATCTATTGTCATCATAGGACCCCTCATCCTCAACAGTGCCTACAGTTCACCTCTGTTATATCCTGTTATATCCAACTACTCTCTGTTATATCCTCTTCAGGAACTAAACCTAAGCTCTCTGAATTGGAGAGGGACAATTTTATGGTTGGGTGATTTCTGGATACAGACTTTTAAAAGAACTTTGTGTTAACTCTACCTTCACTCTCATCTCAAAAAATCATTGTTGTCCATGAGAGGCTCCTAACTCTGGGAAACGAACAAGGTGTAGTGGAAGGGGAGGTGGGAGGGGGATGGGGTGATTGGGTGATGGGCACTGAGGGGGGCACTTGATGGGATGAGCACTGGGTGTTATACTATATGTTGGCAAATCAAACTCCAATAAAAAAATACACAAAAAAAAAGAAAAAAAATCATTGTTGTCACCAACTGAGAAACATGCCAGAGATTTGGTATTGCAAATCAAGGTACTTCTTGGCTTTTCTTACTTGTGGCTTAAAATTCAACCTTCTTAGTTATGCTAAATTGGCTCTGCTCACTGGCTTTCAGAATTTTATTCTTATTCACTCCTCTCATTCTCTTTTATTTCTTTTTTTTTAATAATAAATTTATTTTTTATTGGTGTTCAATTTGCCAACATACAGAATAACACCCAGTGCTCATCCCGTCAAGTGCCCACCACCCAGTTCATTCTCTTTTATTTCTTAAAAAAAATCCCTTTAGTAATATTTAAAGTAATTTGAGAGGGAGCAATGGTGTGTTCAACTTGACATATTTTCCTGAAGATCTTTATTTTAATTTTTAATGGCAAATTGGAGGTTGATACTTATGTATCAAATCATTGAACTTCTCCTTTACCAACTTTCCAATTGCATTTATTTTTAAAAAGGTATTCCTTATTTGTAATCTCAAAATCATTTATATTCCTTTTATAGTGTTTTTAACATTTTAAGACTGTACATTTAACTTATCTGGTATTTATTTTAAGACATAATTTGAGCTAAATATCCAAACTAAGTTTTCTCCAATGTAAAATTTATTTTTCCTAACAATATTAATTTGCTCCATACTCATTGACTTACTGTGTTTCCAACAGCATATTAATATATGCTAGTCTGACTTGACTAACAATTTAGTGTATCTATTCCTGTTACAGTGTATTAATTAGGCACATTTCTAATTTCCTTCTTCACCTGAAAATTTTTGTAATGCTTATCTACTTATTTTTTGAGATTTAAAGATGAATTCCTTAAAGCTTTGCCAAGTCTCTCCTCAAAAATCCCATTAGGATTTTTATTAGAATTTGCAGAAATCATTAGTACTATTCACTAAATATTGCTGTTTTTCCCTTTTCTTGAGGCTGCACGTGGCTAAGAATTTTGTTTTCTATAGTATGTGACTAGAAATTATATATATATATATATGTCACTTCCTTCCTTACCAATGCTCTAGTGATTGGAGAAGTGTATATCAAGATAAAGCTTCCATGTGCCTGAGTACCTGAGTGATGGCAATGAGCAGAGCCTCCCTGTTGATCTGCATTGGACATATAGTGGGGAAAATACATACTTATTTTTTTTTTGTTAAGCTACTGAGATTTTGGGGTTGTATGGCCCTTCTGCATAATGTAACCTATCTCTAAATATATAATTATGTTAATTATATCTACTAGTCTGAGGAATTTAGGATTATCTATAACATAACCGCTATAGGATTCATTACTGCCAAGAAAAGGACAGGACTTAACTACTGTCATATAAAATTTATTCTAGTTGACTTTCTTGGCTAGTTCCATATCAATACTTTAGTCTACTTTATGCTCTTTTATCAAATTAGGCTTGAGAGTCTCTGCTCCAAGGTAAGAGGATAGGGCTATGGATCCCTAGATCCTATACTGGTCCTTGTCTTTATACAGATTTCATGAGGAAAACTTCCTTTTTAAGAATTTAGCTTTTTTGCCTTTTTTCCTGACCCACCCCTCCACTATTTGAGATTTGTGCTACTTGGAAGAAGTCCCTGAAAAGATACTACCAAGAAGGACCCTTGGCTCACCTTAGCTCCCTAACATTCTCTTTCAAATCACTGAGTGAAAGAAGGATCAATTCAGATATTCAAAGGCTGAGCCTATCTGTGCATGGATAGGGCACAGAAAAAGGTGAAAAGTAAAAGCAGTTTTTAAAAATTTTCCAACCCAGACTCTTGAATATCCACTGAGGCAAAGGTGTGTGTGTTCCTTGTGTATGAGAAAGAGTGAAATGGATATCTACATGTCCTTCTGGTGACCAATGCTGTTTCATGTTTCTCCTGGGTATAGAGCTACAGTGCATTTCCCAGCCTCTCTTACAATTAATATGGGTCAAAGACTGTGGGTAGAAGTGACATATGACACTGCCAGGCCTCACTTCCAAATCTTTTCTCACTTATTGCTTCTCTTCTACTTAGATCCAACAGGTACTTCAAGCTGCTATGAATGGGTGGAGGTTCTATATGGAAGGAACATGGGTTTTCTTGCTAACTCACTGGACTGTGAATATGAGTGACAAATAAACTGCTATTGTATTATGCCACTAATCTTTGAAGGTACTTGTTATAACTGCCTATTCTGATATAAAAAGAGTAGTTCCAAACAAAATTGTGTATATTATACAGTAAGTGCTTTGTGGAGTAGGAGGAGATGGAAGATAATTTATCTTTATGCAGTATTAACTGGCTCATAATACCAAATTAGGTGAATGTGAAAAAGTAACTTAATCATGTTTTATCTGAAAAATAGAATTGGCTGAACTGGTGGGCTATTTTGCTATTATATAAAACTTGAGAAATATAAGGTAATTTTATCAATGTCTGTGACAGTGTATTAGGTGTTTCTCCTTTGCAGCCACAATCTAAGATTCATACCTCATGTATAATCATATGACCATATTGATGGGGGAACAGAGGACTAGCTGAGAACAAAGCACAAGCCCAGGGCAGCACACTGACAAGTCCCTGAAACTGGCAGAGGACGTTCCTCTACGGACCCAACTGCCTTGATGTCCATACTTTGCTAAGGGCAAAAGGCAATCTTAGCCCGACCCCCAGGAGCCTGTAAGTCTACTTTAACATATAAAAATTCCTCTAGAAATTTCCCTTTATCTCTATCCCCCAAGATACATGTTGGCAATCATCCTCCAAGCACATGGCCCACTGAAAGACATCTGAAGGGTCTCATGACTCAGGTTTTATTAGACGGTAACAAGTGACCTTTTCCCAACAATAGCCAGGCCCCTCAAGGTCCTGGAAACCTTGCTTCCAAAATTCCTTATCTCTAATTTTGTGCTATCCCCAGACCCCTCCAAACTCCCAGGTATATAATCAGTCACCCCTCACAGGCCCAGGCGGTAGCTCTTCCTGCCCACGGGTCCTGTCCTCAGGCTTTAATAAAACCACCATTTTGCACCAAAGACATCTCAAGAATTCTTTATTGGTCATCAGCTCCAGGCCTTACCTATATTCCAAAACTTCAGCAATATTATCATTTGAGACTTTTCCAATGAATTAAAAATTAAGAAAGTAAATGTCTTGTAAAAGTTGCTTGTACTCACTTGTATTAAGAAGTAGCAATACTTTCATACACAGAAACTCTTCCTGGCTAACTTGAAGCTTGACAAACTCCTGTGGGATCTGCCACATGGTGAGGCATAATGAATAGAATGATGATTCCTTCATCCTCTGTCTTGTATCATACACAACACATAAAGGAAAGAGCAACAGGAAAAAAGAAACATACAATGTCTTAGCGAGTTTGTGAAATTTATCAGAGAAAATGAAATATGGTAACTTACATATTACAGAAAATGTCTTTTTGTAATCAAAATAAACTAATAAACTATTCACAATACTGAATTTCTGAGGTTAAGAAATTTTAAAGTTAGGAAATCAATTAAATACATATTGACCAAAATTAATGTTCTCACTTTTATTATTATATTTTAAAAACTTAAGGAGTTGAGAATGTGGAGCTGAGGAACACCCAGGGAATCATAAATTTATTGATTATTTTTTTCTGTTAAAAAGTACATATTTTTTTGTGTCTAATCCAAAGGGAGAACGGATTCGGTTCATAGGAACTGAAGAACATAGAGTAGTTCAGTGTATTCAGGGTAGAAGTTACACTAAGAACTATTCTAGGGGAAATGTATGGTGACAAAGAAAAGAGAACATTACAAAGGATTAAATAATTGACAAGGTTGAACACTAATTGTGAAGATTGAGGAAATTTTTTTAAAGGTATTTTCTCAACCATGTGCTGTTCTACAATACCCACATTAGTCACATGCAGCTAGTAAAAAGAAAACTAGATTTTGACTCAGAAGAGCTAAAATTAATCCTGACTCTCACTCAGATTCTTTGGCAGGACATGTAATTTCTCTGAGCCTGTTTCCTGACCTGTAAAATGAAGGACACTGATTCCTTCCCTGTTTCAAGGGATTAGATGGAATAAAATATATGAAAATTACTTGTTAACTATAAAGACAAAAGTAACTTAATATGTCATTAATTCTGAGTCAGCACTCATCATTTGAATAGCATAAATATTTCCATGAAATAATTCTTATTCAGTTTAAGGTTGTATGTAGGAAAAATAATTATAGTAATTTAAATATAGCCAAGAAAATTGAAATATTTATCTTTCAATCTTTAAAATAACTTACCAGTCTGATTTTTCCTCTAGGAGGAAAGATAATATCTTTACTCATTGAAGGTAAGTTGATACTTTCAACCAAAAATACTTCTAATTTTCATCATTATCTTCATTAGTACCAAGGTATAAAATTTTAATTTGGTAAACTAAATATTTCATTTTGAGTGTATTTAAGTATATTTCTTGATACATTTTTAAAGTTTAAAAAAATGGATCTGAGATGACTACTATATATTGAAACAAAAGGGTAAATCTCCAAATATCAAATTACTGATATGATGATACAATTTTATTTATTTTGTTATATCAAGCTATATCCTGAGATAATTCTGGTAAACCTTACAGGAAAATTCTATCTATTCTATTATTATAGATGTATAAACCTCTATTGGAATGTAATTTTCAAGATTATCCTACATATACATTTATGTGATAATACAATAAAAAATCAAGTTACTACTTACTCATTTAGTATTAGATCAGGTGCAAAATATAGCATCTGCCCACTGACATGTTTGTAAGATCTCCATCCTAGTCCAAACACCATTAAGCTCATCCAAGAATACTGGATGAGAGTTATTTGGTCATCAATGTGTAAATTTCGAAAACCTACAAATTAAATAAAATGATCCCCAAAATCACTTGTGTTAAAATGTTGAAAATACATAGAAATTTGAAAATAGATGTAAGTAAGGTAATATACTGTTTTCAATTTCAATGCATTTTATACGACAAATAAGGAAATATTAACACATAGTAGTGCCTGAGAAATTAAAAAGGAACAACTTCGAAGTAATTAAAACTAATCACTTTGGGGGCACCTGGGTGGCCCAGTCAGTAAAGCATCTGCCTTGGGCACAGGTCATGATCCCAGGGTCCTGGGATTAAACCATGCATTGAGAGGCCTGCTTCTCCCTTACCCTCTGCCTCTGCCTGCTGTTCCCCGTTTGTGCTCTCTCTTTATTCATTTTATCAATGAATAAAATCTTTTAAGAAATAATAAAATAAAACCGGTCACTGTTATTTAGCATTTCTGAGAATTCACTAATTGACCATTGTCCATCAGTGACACATACAACATTCATCTATTGAGACTCACTTGTGCACTAGGCACTGTGTTAAAATGGTTGAGAGGATGAAAGACTGAAACTCTGCCCTTAAAAGAAACTCACAAGCCAAGAGGAAAGACAAGCACATAAATTCAGCGATACAGAAAGTTAACAGGGAACTGGAAAAAATACATAGAAATTTGAAATAATTATTATATAATTTTATATATATTATAAAATTATAAATTTTATATTTTATATAAAATATATAAATAATTTTATATTTTATATAAAAAAAGTTTTATTAAAGCTTATTGAGTTATATTGAATAACTCCTGAGGAGATCACCCTCAAGCAGAGTGTAATCAGATTGTTGAAGAATCTTAAATCTTTGGGATTTAAAAATAAGCTGATTTTGTTTTATAAAACCACTGCTTTCAATTTTGTTTGATTTGTATTTAATATCCTTTAATTATGTCTTAGGTAGATTCCGTAGTTTTATGGTCACTTTTTTTGGGAACAATTCAGTCTCATTTTAAATGGCCATGTGGTTTAAGAGGTTTAGTGTGTGTGTGTGTGTGTGTGTGTGTGTGTGTGTGTGTGTTGAGAGAGAGAGAGAGAGAGAGAGAGAGAGAGAGAGAGAGAGGAATCCTCTGATCTTTCATACCTTTACAACCTCTTTTAGGCCCTTCTCCAGTGTTGGAGATAGAGGGAGGATGGTAGGGAGAGAGCAAATGCACTGACTCAATGGTCAAAATATTCTCTCCACCTTTTTTAATAATAAATTTATTTTGTATTGGTGTTCAATTTGCCAACATACAGAATAACACCCAGTGCTCATCCCGTCAAGTGCCCCCCTCAGTGCCCACCACCCATTCACCCCCACCCCCCGCCCTCCTCCCCTTCCACCACCCCTATTTCTTTTCCCAGAGTCAGGAGTCTTCATGTTCTGTCTCCCTTTCTGATATTTCCTACCCATTTCTTCTCCCTTCCCTTCCATTCCCTTTCACTATTATTTATATTCCCCAAATGAATGAGACCATATAATGTTTGTCCTTCTCCGATTGGCTCATTTCACACAGCATAATACCCTCCAGTTCCATCCACGTGGAAGCAAATGGCGGGTATTTGTCGTTTCTAATGGCTGAGTAATATTCCATTGTATACATAAACCACATCTTCTTTATCCATTCATCTTTCGATGGACACCGAGGCTCCTTCCACAGTTTGGCTATTGTGGACATGGCTGCTAGAAACATCGGGGTGCAGGTGCCCCGGCGTTTCATTGCATCTGTATCTTTGGGGTAAATCCCCAACAGTGCAATTGCCGGGTCGTAGGGCAGGTCTATTTTTAACTTTTTGAGGAACCTCCACACAGTTTTCCAGAGTGGCTGCACCAGTTCACATTCCCACCAACAGTGTAAGAGGGTTCCCTTTTCTCCGCATCCTCTCCAACATTTGTGGTTCCCCACCTTGTTAATTTTCCCCATTCTCACTGGTGTGAGGTGGTATCTCACTGTGGTTTTGATTTGTATTTCCCTGATGGCAAGCAGAGCAGCAATAAATGGTGCTGGGAAAATTGGACATCCACATGCAGAAGAATGAAACTAGACCACTCTCTTGCACCATACACAAAGATAAACTCAAAATGGATGAAAGATCTAAATGTGAGACAAGATTCCATCAAAATCCTAGAGGAGAACACAGGCAACACCCTTTTTAAACTCGGCCACTTTAACTTCTTGCAAGATACATCCACAAAGGCAAAAGAAACAAAAGCAAAAATGAACTATTGGGACTTCATCAAGATAAGAAGCTTTTGCACAGCAAAGGATCCACCTCTTTTCAATTCCAATTTTGCCTGTTTTGCAGAAGATCATTAGCCCAGCACTGATGAATTTAAAGGAGGGAGAAGCAAAGAGGTAAATCTGGAGTTGGGAGGCTGTGATCAGAGATGTCTATTAAGGAACAACAATATGACATAGCCTAAATATTTGTGTTATGGAGAGATTTTTGGTAGCCATGTAGAGGATAGATTCAAGGGAGTAAATAGGGAGTTACAGAAAAATTTGGAAACTATTGCTAAAGGCCATGTGAGAGATGATAAAAGTCTGAAATAAGTCAACAGGAAGATTTATAGTGGAGGGACTACATCAGAGAAATATTTAAAGTGTAAAATCAAAGAGATTTGGCAATTGATTATAAGTAAATAGGAAGAAGTTGCCTCACAGATGTTTCAGTATTTTTGCAGGAATGGTGGATGATAACAGTATTACTGAGACAGAACAGACGCAGAGAAATAGGGTAGGGACAAAAACCTAACAGGCTCATTGAAAGCTAGATTAAATTATTCAGATGTATTAAAACATTAATAAATTATCACTATCGGGATCCCTGGGTGGCTCAGCGGTTTAGCGCCTGCCTTCCGCCCAGGCTGTGATCCTGGAGACCCAGGATCAAGTCCCATGTCGGGCTCCCTGCATGGAGCCTGCTTCTCCCTCTGCCTGTGTCTATGCCTCTCTCTCTGTGTGTCTCTCATGAATAAATAAACAAAATCTTTAAAAAATATAAATTATCACTATCATCTTCAGGAACAGATTTTCATTCTTTATTCCTTTCTTAGTCAATTTCATAACTTTGTAAAGAAATTTTCATACTACTTAAATATTTGACCTACTATATTTCACTCCAGGCTTTTGTTTCATGTTAATCTCTAATTTGAAATTTTTACATCATAATAAAACACTTAATTCATTTGTTCTTTTTTAAAAAACATATTCCACTTACATTTACATGTTTGTGTCTACTTTACCCTACCCTTTATTTTGGGGGCGGGGTTGCTTGTTTTCTTTTTTGCAGTCTGGGATTAATAAGAAATAAAAATAAAGGAAAATTTTTAGTAGATTATAATATAAAAGGCAAATCTTGCTGAAATAGCTTAAAACTTTTGAAATTTTACCAATATTTATAGCAGAAAGTATATTATTTCCATTTAACAGATTGAAAAACAACTCAGAAAAATAGCTTTTAAAATAACCACCTCTTAGAGGGCTTATCTGTGATAAATGTACACTGTTAAATTGACTTGAACATGCCTGGTACAGAAGTGTGATTTTTTTCCCCATTAATTGTAATATCATTCATTACTTTATACTGAAACAAAGACAGGAACACTAAGATCAAATTCCCATTGATGATAATGATCAGGTAAAGTCAGTACATTTGCAATGATGATCAAAATGAAAAACTTCACATAGAAAGTGATGGATGATCCTTAATTGCGTTTAACAAGTAGTAAAGAAAAATACCCTTTCCTTTTAAGTGACTTGACCTGATAATTTCTGGCAAAAATTCTGTTACAAGCTGTTCAATCCTTAATGCTTAAAGAAGTGTATGCTAACACATGGCATGCAAGACCTAAGTTCTCCTGTATTACCTCCAGAGTTTTGATAAAATATATAGGTTATGCTGCTATAAAAACTGTCGTGTACTGAAACATTTAATTAACAACAAAGGTGGAACATTAAATATCTCAGCACCTTCTAACACAAAGTATGAGTGAACTTTGAGGAGTACAAAAAAACTACAGCATAAGTATAATCACCAACATGCATATGATTTTTTTCATGAATAAGGACTTGATGGCTAATGATTTAAGAGGGCACAGTTCCATTTGTATCAATTCCATAATTTAAATTTCTATAAACACTATTTAAGCATCCCTCTGGATGAAGCATTATGGTTTCAAGTAGGCACAAAGATTAGAAATATGTTTCTACCTTTAACGCTTGCAATCTGGTGAGACAGAAAATGAGAACATAATTACAACTCAGAGTGATAGTACGGTTGACAAAGGCAAAGGTGATGTGATTGAGCCAAGGGGCCAATGACTCAGTCTGGGAAGGACAGGGAACTTATCCTTGGGGAAGTGACAGGTAATTATAATCCTGAAGGCTAGTTAGGGACCAGCCAACTGACCAGCCTAGTTAGGGATGAAACTGTGGGGAATGAAGAGGATCTTTGGGTTGGGAAACAATATGGGCAAAAGGAGGCAGGATACTGAGCAAAAAGCATTGTGAGTATTGAAACTTAGAGCTGCGTGGAGAGGAAGAATGAAAGATAATATTGTAAATTCAGGAACCAATTCACAGAGGAATCTTGGATGTTAAGGTTAAGAAGTTTGAACTTTGTTATGAAAAGGAAAGGGAATAATAATATAATTGACTATAATTATTTTTAGAAAGATGATTCTGGTGGCAGAAAAGGACTGTTTGGTGGTTGGGGGAAACCAGCAATAGGGTTACTAAAAGAGCTACAGTTGAAATCTAGGAAACCTCAACTAATTTAGGGAAGTAGCAGTGGAAGTAGTATATATAATCAATCATATATTTATATTTAGTAAGTGGAGTTGACAGAATTTGATAACTAACTGGACAAGAGGTGAAGGAGAAAATTGAGCCTAGTATGATACCCAAGATTCTATCTTTTTTTAAAAAAAATTTTTGTTGGAGTTCAATTTGCCAACATATAGCATAACCCCCAGTGCTCATCCCGCCAAGT